GGACCTCAAACGAGTTCACCGGGGAACCCAAAAATAGCTCTCCCATGACAGCGACCGAGGGACTCGCTGGGAACTGAAAGGGATTTTTTTCTTTTTTAAAGCCGGTATCGGCTCGGAGGGACGGGAAAATCCAGGAGGCAACTGCCTTTGCCGGGAAGGGGCTGAGCTGGTGGGCGCGGGAGTGGGGGGAGCTGCGAAGGAGGACCCCGCGGGCCTGGGGAGCAGAGGGGAGGGTCCCCAGCCTGTGGGAGCGAAGGGACAGGGGGAGGCGTCCCCGACCTCGGGGGAGCGAAGGGACGGGAGGGTCCCCAAACTGTGGGAGCGAGGGGACGGGAGGGTCCCCAACCTGTGGGAGCGAAGGGACAGGGGAGGAGGGTCCCCAACCTCGGGGGAGCGAAGGGACAGGGGAGGGTCCCCAACCTGTGGGAGCGGAGGGACAGGGGGAGGCGTCCCCGACCTCGGGAGAGCGAAGGGACAGGGGAGGGTCCCCAACCTGTGGGAGCGGAGGGACAGGGGGAGGCGTCCCCGACCTCGGGAGAGCGAAGGGACAGGGGAGGGTCCCCAACCTGTGGGAGCGGAGGGACAGGGGGAGGCGTCCCCGACCTCGGGAGAGCGAAGGGACAGGGGAGGGTCCCCAACCTGTGGGAGCGAGGGGACAGGGGAGGGTCCCCGACCTGTGGGAGCGAGGGGACAGGGGAGGGTCCCCGACCTGTGGGAGCGAGGGGACAGGGGAGGGTCCCCGACCTGTGGGAGCGAGGGGACAGGGGAGGGTCCCCGACCTGTGGGAGCGAGGGGACAGGGGAGGGTCCCCGACCTCCACCTCTGCATGCTGCTTGCTGCGGCGCATGCGTAGGCTGGCCCAGCTGTCAACCCGGAGCTGGCGCTGGGCTTCTCTCCCACAACTAGGGCGATGAGATCTGCCCCAGGAACGGTGAGCGATCTGGTGAGCAGCCGCCGCAACAGTAGCAATCAAAACGACTTTTATAGCTTCCCTAGGAGAAACCCCTAACTGGGTTAGATCACTTGACCATCCAGAATTCTTAAATACCTCCCAGACTCCACCTCCCTTGCCAAGAAAGTTTTCACGATTGGTAGAATCCTCTGTTACCACCTGGTCCTTCCCCTTTGACCAGTCCAAGCAAGCAAGCCCATATAGGAAATATTTTCCCCGAAACTGCTGCCAACGATACCACCCTTTTTCCTGTGAATGTCACCAGAAAGCTATTTTGAATTCCTTGTTTAACTGATGCAAATCTCTAAGGAATGTAACAGGCACTTTGCAGGGAAGGCACACAGGATTTCCACCCACCGCTGCAAACTTGCCTCTTGAGAGAGGCATCACAGGGTGGCGGTTTTTACATACACATATTCTAAAACCAGAGTGCTTCATTTAAATCTAGCGTTCCCTCCTTTATAAATTATAATCTACTTAATCTACTTCAATTTTTTTCATTTCATATTAAAATGAGGATGATAATAGTACCTACCTCATAGGTTTGTTGGAAAGGTGAGATTAACTAGTTAGTAATGTAAATACACTATTTATAACTATCTAGGTAAGCAATTTTCAACCAGTGTGCCGCAAGAATTTTTAAAACATGGGATACCTGACTATTTAGCCTGGGGCACTGACCTCTTTTTCCCTTAGATTGTCAAATAAAAAAAAAAATGACAACAGCCAACACGACGTAGACATCTGGTGTGAACGAATCAAAATTACACCTTTTTTTGGTCAGATGGGCAAAAAATGTAATCTGTTTTTTTGGTGTGCCGTAGAATATTAGTAATTAGTTTATGTGTGCTGTGAGGTGAAAAAGGTCGAAAAGTGCTGGTCTATGATATAATATGTGCTAACAATACTGTATTTCCTCCTTTCTAGTTGCCAATGTTCATAGCAAATGCTTATGTTTTTAAGATAGGAAACTGTCACTGGTTCTCAAACTCCATCTGCCCCCCCTTTCTTAAAAACATATTTTGAAATATTTAAGACATAAAAAGAAGTATACACACACACACACACACCTGTGTGCTTGCCACCCAGCTCAAGAAATAAAACATTGTCAGTAGACTTGCCAGCCCCTCTTGGTCCCCCACCCACTGCTTTCTAAAAACTAAATCACTTATGGATGACAAAGAGAACATTGTATGAAACTGAGAGATGGAGAAAAGAAAGAGCAAGGGAGTTAGACTCCCCCCTCTGGTTAGTATGAACTCTGGAGCAAGTTATTTAACCCT